TCACCTAGGCCCATCAGAAAACACACATTATGATTCAGAACAGCAGCAAAATTAGTTATGATGACGTAGCAATGGAAATAATTTATGATTGGGGGTCACCACAACATGAAGAACGGTATCAAAGGGTGGCAGCCTTAGGAAAGCTGAGAACCACACTGCTCTAGACAGTGCGCCAACGGCCGTCCACCAGATCAGCGTAGGCAAAGCGGGTCACACTACCTCACATAACTGAGGTAGTGTGACTCAAACTAGAGTTTTACTCCCCAAACTAGAGTTGATTAAGTTATTCATATAAACCATCTAGCACAGAACCAGGACATCACCTCAATACATTCCTCTTCCTGCGTATGTGATGCTGGGAATCAAACCCGGGGAGGTGCCTTCAGCCCTCCTTTAGCATTTTAATACAAAGTTGTTTTTTCTTTTTTTTTTTTTAAAAAAAAAAAAACCATGGATGCCCCTCAAGGTGTTCATGATTTCCTAAATATATATAAAATCATATATGTCACCTCTTCTTGAGTCTAAACTGCAGTCTGGATTGTAGTCCCTACAGGTAGTATGACTCCACATCCCCAAAGGACCAGATCAAGCTGCCTATAATACTTTCTGGTAGCAGAGAATTTTTTTTTTTAAATTTCCGCTTCCTCCCAGCCTCCCATTTCCCTTCCCCTAGCAGAGAATTTTTATAAACTTTCTTTTTCTATTCTAATTTTTAAAAACGTATGTTATGTGATGAGTGTTTTGCCTACAAGTATATCTGTGCACTATTTTTGTGCCTGGTGCCCTCAAAGGCCAGAAGAGGGCATTGAATCCCCCTGGACCTGAAGTTGCTACACATGGCTGTGAGATGCCCCACGGGCATTGACCGAGGTCCTCTGAAGAGCAGCCAGTGTTCTTAACTGCTAGGCCATCACTCCAGCCCCTATACTAAAGTTTTTTTTTTTTGTTTTTTGTTTTTGTTTTTTGAGACAGGGTTTCTCTGTGGCTTTGGAGCCTGTCCTGGAACTAGCTCTATAGACCAGGCTGGTCTCGAACTCACAGAGATCCACCTGCCTCTGCCTCCCGAGTGCTGGGATTAAAGGTGTGCGCCACCATCGCTTGGCTCCCTATACTAATTTTTAAAATTAATTTTGTTCTTTGATAATTTCATACATGCATGTAATGCATTCTGATGACTCTCGCCTCCATCACCTCCCTCCATCCTGTCCCCCCTCCACCCTCCACCCTCTCCCTCCATCCTGTCATCACCCTCCCCCCTCCACCCCTTCCCTCCATCCTGTCACCACCTTCCCCTCCCCCCATCCTGTCATCACCCTCCCCCTCCACCCCTTCCCCCCATCCTGTCATCACCCTCCCCCCTCCACCCCTTCCCTCCATCCTGTCACCACCTTCCCCTCCCCCATCCTGTCATCACCCTCCCCCTCCACCCCTTCCCCCCATCCTGTCATCACCCTCCCCCCTCCACCCCTTCCCTCCATCCTGTCACCACCTTCCCCTCCCCCCCCACCCTGTCACCACCCTCCACCTTCCCCTCCCCCATCCTGTCACCACCTTCCCCTCCCCCATCCTGTCACCACCTTCCCCTCCCCCCCATCCTGTCACCACCTTCCCCTCCCCCCACCCTGTCACCACCCTCCACCTTCCCCTCCCCATCCTGTCATCACCCTCCCCCTCCACCCCTTCCCCCCATCCTGTCATCACCCTCCCCCCTCCACCCCTTCCCTCCATCCTGTCACCACCTTCCCCTCCCCCATCCTGTCATCACCCTCCCCCTCCACCCCTTCCCTCCATCCTGTCACCACCTTCCCCTCCCCCCCACCCTGTCACCACCCTCCACCTTCCCCTCCCCCATCCTGTCACCACCTTCCCCTCCCCCCCATCCTGTCACCACCTTCCCCTCCCCCCATCCTGTCACCACCTTCCCCTCCCCCCCATCCTGTCACCACCTTCCCCTCCCCCCACCCTGTCACCACCCTCCACCTTCCCCTCCCCCATCCTGTCACCACCTTCCCCTCCCCCCCACCCTGTCACCACCCTCCCCCTTCCTCACCCCACTCCAACCCTCTGCCAGTCTCAGTCTCCTCAGATTCACAGCTTTTGGGTTGGGTTTTTTGTTTTATTTGTTGTTGTTTTGAAAGCATTTCTCTGTGTAGCCATGGCTGTCTTGAAACTCACTCTGTAGACCAGGCTAGCCTCGAACTCAGAGATTCACGTGACTTAGCCTCCTGAGTGCTGAGATTAAAGATCAGTGTTACCAAGCCCAGTTGGCATTTTCTGTTTGGTTGTTTTTTTTTTTTGTTTTGTTTTTTTGTTTGTTTTTTTTGAGATAGGATCTTGTTATGCTGCCCACTCTGATCTTGAATTCAGGGGCTCAGCGGAACCTTCTGCCTCAACATAGGCAGCTGGGGCTATAACCATGCCCTGAGGCAGCAATTCTTTCCATATTTTTCATTAGAATTTTTGGGTTAGAATCTTCGAGGGAAAGTGACTAGGTCATGCATCTACGACTTGGCTAGCCTGTCACATCCCCTCCCAAGAGCCTGTACCCTTTGTGCTCCCTCCAGCAGGACTTAACAGAGCTTGTGAAGGCCCCGCTCACCCACAGGCTGGAGTTAAACACTGCGACTTCATCAGAACCAGTTTGCCTCTCTTTGACAAGTTGCTCATTCTGTTCCTTTAACCATCCTCACCCTTCCAGTGATTCTCAAACTACTTACTCACATGTTGAAAAGTCCACTGGCTGACATTTTTTTTCCCTTCTGAGACAGGGTTTCATGTAACCCAGGCTGCCCTCAAGTCTGGTATACAATCAAGGGCAACTCTGAACTTCTGATTCTCCTCTCTACCGCCTGACTGCTGGTATTAAGGCCATGTGTCTCCACGTCCAGTTTATGCAGTGCTGGGGATGGAGCCCAGAGCTTCGTGAGCACTAAGCAAGCAGTCTCCCTCTTTATCGGTGATGTCACCTTTACACTAATTCTCATACCCAATCGAACTTCTGTTTCTTTAATCTACCATGGATTAGTTCTTCCAAAGACAGCCAAGCCCGGCTCGGGGCTCCGCTTACTAAGCACACTGCAGTGGACAAAGGGCTGAGCACTAAGCTAGACCGGGCCTCAAACTTCAAGCTTTTCCTGGTGACTCTGGCTGTTCTTCCAGTAACCTTGATAGGAAGAGGGAGCAGGCGTTTGTGCACAGAATAGCTTGTATGCATGCTCTATCTACAGCTCTTGGGGCTGGAGAGGTAGCTCGGGGGTTAGATGCTCTTCCTCCCAGCACCCACTGTCGGCTGGCTCACAACTCCCTAGAACTCCAGTTCCAGGGGATCTGATGTCCTCTTCTGGCCACCACGGAGTGCATGTGTGTACCCACACACTTAGGCACATATAAAAGCCCTCATATTTTCGGCTGGGGTTGTGGCCTAGTAGTAGCTTACTTGCCTCATGTGCCTGAGGCCTGGGGTTTGATTGCTCAGCATGGGTGCCCAGTGGGGTTGGCTCCCTTTAGAGAAGTGTTGGAAGACACACCAACATGTTTGGAGTGGTGACAGTAGTGCCGTTTTGTTGCTAGGTGACACCAGCAGCGGGAACAAGCTGTCCCCTCCTCCACCTTCACCCCTGTGCCCTCTGGAGATCCTCTCTGCTGGGCAGATGATGAGGGTGGTGCGTGGGGTGAACACTTGCCTAGAATGAGACCCTGGGTGTCATCCAAAGAATGGGGTAGGGAGCAGGGGGCAGGCAGAGCCACTTCAGCAGGTGGAGCCCCAGGCGGTGGACAAGGGTTAATACAGAGTGGGGTTCAAGCCAGCCTGTACTCTCCCCTCCATTTAGGGGTGTCCTGTCCTAGGAGAAAGGTTTCTATGAGGCGACAGGCAGGCCGGTTTCACTGTTACATCTTGGCCTTGTGCTGTGAGCATGCTGAACTGTGATGGCAGAGCTGGTTCTGTATTCCAACTGTCCAGACCAGGAGCTTACATGAAATGTGGCTTCTCTCTGCAGCACAAGGGCTGGGAATACAGGTATGAGCCATGACACCCAGATTCTAAAAGTCAGTAACTGAAGCTGACTGTTCTGAACTGTGTGGCTTTGGCCAGTCCCCAGCCCAGCTCTCCCCAAGAGAAGACGCTGCACGTGCACGCGGCCTCGAGGCCAGGTGAGAAGACAGCAGGTCTCAATGGGGGCAGAGCGGGGAAGCTGGGGGCCAGGCCCTCCTTAATCCCCACAGGAGCTCTGTGGGAGGCCAGCCCACAGAATCCCCACTCCTACCCCGGTGGCCATCACAATGGCATTCAGGATGGCGTCACAATGGCACTGGCAGTGGGAGGCTGCTTTCTTTGTCTGCAGACCTAGTTACAGGAACTCCAGCGTCAGAAACCCTGTTTCCTGAGGGAATGGAAAGGAGCCCAGCATTTGAGTGGCCTCAAGATGGAGACCCATAGGAAGAAGTCGAATAGGTGTGGGGCTGGGTGCTCCAAGTCAGCCTCAGGAGCCCAGAACTGCTGGGCCCAGCTGCACCCCTGCAGGGAGGAGGGGTTCTCTTTGAGCACTGATCAGCTGCTAGTCTTTTTCCTGGCTGTCTGGTTCTTCTATTTCTTCTGCTTCCAAGACTAATTTGGACAGAGCCTCCCTTCCGCCTGCTCAGGGGGTGGCTGAGGGTCAGAGCCTCAGCCCCACAGGACAGCTGATCAGGCCTCACCTGCTCGCCTAGGGAGTGAAGACCCAGAGCCTATGGTTGCTGTGGCCTGTCACCTCAAGCTGGCCTGCTTCTGGTTCAGAAGACGACAGGGCAGCATGTCTGCAGCTGGTCTCCAGCCTCGCACCTCCACTGCCTACATGACCCCATTACCAGGCAAAGACCAGGACAGGAAGGCTGCCTGGTGAAGGCGAAGCTGTGGCTGAGTCTTCTTGGTCAGTGGAGTTGAGCTCTGCATGTTGACTGGGAAGCTATTTTATGCCTGGTCCCAGGTCCAGTCTCTAATGAGAAATAAAACGCCATGGGGCCAAATCACGTATTTCTTTTTATTTTTGTGTCTTTGAGACAGTGTTTGCTATAAAGCCCAGGCTGGCCTTTACGCTTGCACTACACCAGGCTTTCATTCTTGCATTCTAGGAAAGAAAACCAGAGCTCTGTGGTGCTGGCAAGGGTGGGGGTGGGGGTCAGATCTTGAAGAGAAAAGCTTAATCATATTAAGGGTATGGGATGATTCCCCACTGGACTCAGGCTAGGTCCTGCCCACCCCAAAGGCTTTCAGACCTTGTCCAACAGAGCAGGACAGGCACCTCTGGTAGAGCTGCAGAGTTCTTTGGGGGCTCTTGGGAGTTGGGGGCAGACATAGCTCCCAACACTCACACTGAGGGGTAAAGGCTGAGTGAGAAGTGGGCTACTCCAGAGACCATGAGAGGTTGTGGAGAGGTTCTTGCCCCAAGCCATGCCCTCTGCAGTTGTGCGGCTAAGGACGAACACATGGCAGGGCAGCTCAGACGTGGAGTGGCGATGTGCAGGGGGCCTGTCCGTGCAGACCCTGGTGTCTCACACGAAGGGGCAGCACAGCAGGCACTGGTGGTGTGGTGTGTAGGAGAACGGAGGTGACAATCCCCTACTGGCCACCTCCGTGGAAAAGTCCCCCGGGAACTCTGAAAGCAGATTCCCTAAACCTCAGGACTGAGCTCTGGGCCACCTGTAGGAACGAAGAACATGTGGTTCAAGGGGCTGTGATTTATCTCAAAGACAAGGTGGAGCATGCCTGCAAGGGGTTGGGGACAGTGTTGGTGACCTGCATAAATATCCTTCTAAGCTGGAAGCTCTTGACAGTGAACAAACCTGTATGAAATCCTTGTTTTCTTTGGGACTCCATAAGGTTTCATTTTAAATGGGGGGAAAAATGTACCCTCAGGAGCCAAAGAGGTGGTTCAGAGAGTAGAGGAGACTGCCACAGCGCTAATGACCTGAATTTCAGCCCCGCGACCACATAGGCTGGGGAGTGAGCCAACTCCTGAACTGTCCTGACATCTACAGGCACACCATGGCACCCACGTGCCCATGCGCATACGCACAATTTGTTAAAAACGTGGCCTATAAACCAGTATCTTCCTGCAATGGGCTACATAGAGAACAGGAATCTCCTTCAGAGAGTGGCTCCAGGAGCAACCAGACACATTCTGGCACCTGGCCTGATAGAAGCCACTGCCCCTCCCCTGGCACTGACACACCCATGCCAGACAGATCTAAACCACTGCCTGACAGCTGGCAGCAACTGCACATGGCTGTCCTGTCCCGTGTGCCAGGAGGAAGCCTCAGTGAATGTCAACTGCCATTTTATTAAGGCTCCAAGTGTCTGCAGGGGAGGGGGGTACACATGGCTAAGTCATGTGCCCTACCATGGTCTGCTTCTGCGTGACCCTGAGGCAGAGAAGGCTGTATGAGGTCCCAAGTCACAGTCTACTGAGCGCCATCCACAAAACTCCATCAGAAGGTTGCGTGCAGCCAGGTGGTGGTGGTGCACACGTTTAATCTCAGCACTTGGAAGGCAGAGGCAGGTGAATCTCTGTGAGTTTGAGGTCAGCCTGGTCTACAGAGCAAGTTCCAGGACAGCCAGGGCTGTTACACAGAGAAACTGATACAGACACCATGGTACCGGGGTAGTGTTGCTGAACAGTCTGGCTCTGGTTGGAGAGTGGCAAGGTAGGCCAGGGAGAACAGGGATTTCCCCCCAGCCCAGCCTATGGCTTTATTATCCTGTGTTGTCTAAGCAGGAGGGGGTGTCCTGACCCAGCCCCCGTAATACACCATGAGGTGCTAAAACCCAGGAGAGAATAGGGCCACTGGGATCCTGCTCTTGCTTCCTTCACCTGCAGGTCTCGCACAAAATGGGGCTTCTTCAGTTGAGGCTGGTCCCTCAAAAATGGACCCGCAGCACATCCTGGCTGGCGACTGGCTGCTGGCAGGCTGCACACATCATGGGCTGGGAGCGCTGCTGCTCACTCAGGCAGGGTCGGCACAGGAGGTGGCCACAATGCAGCTGGTACACAGGCTCCTTCGTGCAGTAGGAGGAAAACGCTCTTTTGCAGGAGGCACATGCTGGACCACAGACACTCCTGGGGTGCTCTGGTGAGTCAGAAGAACAAGGAAGGGTCAGGTGAGGCTGTTCCTCAGTCAGCTGGGAACTGGCATGCCTCCCTTCTGCCATCTTTATCAATCTTGGTGCTGTCTATGAATGCTTAAGAACTGGCCTCTAAATGCAGTGCATGGGAGCAGACAAAGTGTATACTCCTCCGCCAAAGCTTACCCTGACAAGATTAGCTGCAAGAAGAGGGAAAAACACAATGTGGCCCAAATATCAGGGTCAGAACAGTCAGGGTGGAGGGAAATCACCAGAGGGGCACTTCAATCTGTCAGGAGCTGCCTTCTAATCCCTCAGCTCCTTTCTGGAACTGCCCTGGCCTTGGGCGGGCCCCCCCACCTGAAGATTCACTACAGATTCCCTTGATGTGATCCAGAGGAAAGGAGGTAAGGTCTACACCATAGGACAGTGGGGCTTTGATTCATACCATGTGAATCTTAAGAGGTGGAACACCTCTGTGATCGTTAGCTGTGAAAGACTCTGTGTAAGGACGGTGGGGATGCTGAGCACAGGAGCTGCAGGGAGTTCACAGGGCTGGGGAAGAGGATTCAGGATTGGTACTAGGGTGTTCTTCAGAATCACAGCAAAGAAAAGCATAAAAGGGCTGATGAGATGGCTCAGTGGACAGCAGGACTTCCTGTCTGATGACCTGAGTTCTATCCCTGGCACCCACAGTGGAGGAGAACCAACTTCTGAGAGTTGTCTCTCCACCTCCACATGTGTGCTGTGGCACGTGTGCACTATGTACAGGCACACTCACAAATGAGAGCATACAAGGACCTAATCATGAGTGAGGACACTGGAGGAAAAACGGACTCCTATGGTGAAAGCTTGCCAAGTGGAAGACAGGCTCTTTACCAACACAGGCTCAGAGGGTGCTGGGGAGGAGAGCTTTGAAAGCAGACGGTGCAGTTCAGAGTGGCTGGAGATGCCAATGAGAAGGGTCCCAGCAGCTGTCAGGGAGGGAAGGAGAGGAAGGGGTCACGAGAGCAGCACTAGGTGAGGGCTCTCACTGGCAGGAACTCTAGCAAGGGAAACTGAAAAGAAATGGCTGAAGGCAGGGAAGAAGCTGCATCGTCTGAAGGCCAAAAGAAAGAGAAGGTGGGTAAAGCCGGTCAGGCTGGCCAATCACACCCCTGGATGCTGCGAGGACAAGCAGCCGTGAGACTGGCAGTTTTCCTGGGCACTTTGAAAGACATGCTTTTGGAAATAGTTAGGAAGAAACAATCAGAGTAGGGAGAGTGTGATGGAGACCCAGGTGACAGGAGGGACGGGCTCTGCACCAGCAGGAGCAATCAACAGCTGGCCTGAGCAGCCCCATCAGGTTTCATTTTGTCCTTTGCTTAAAAAAGGGGACTGGGGAGTTGGAGAGATGGCTCAATGGTTAGAGAGCTCTGGTTACTCTTGCAGGACCCTGGGTTCAGTTTTAAGTACCCACATGGTGGCTCACAGGTATCTGCAACTCCTGTTTCAGGAGATCTGACACTTTCTTCTGATCTCCACCTGGTATGGACATGGTACATATACATACACACAGGAAAAACATTCATACACATAAAATTAAAAAAAAATTAGTCAATTCCTCACTTTGTGTCTACCTTACAATATGACCCTAGATTGTTTTGTTGTTGTTGTTGTTTTTGGGCAAAATCTGGGCCATGAATCTACCTCTGGTGCTTTTCTAGTGCAATGATGAAAATGTTACCAAGAAGAGAGAAGATGACCTCTGAAACCTAAACCTTTCTTCATATGTAGATGAAACAGCCCAGATATCAGACGAAGGGAAGATCAGGACCATCAAAGTCCCAGGAGAGAACTATGTAGTCTACCAGAGCCAAGTGTGGTGTGCAACTTTGTAATCCCAGCACTTGAGGACTGGAAAGTTCAAGGCCAGCAAGACCCCGTGTCAAAAAAAATCAAAACAGGGCTGGAGAGATGGCTCAGCGGTTAAGAGCATTGCCTGCTCTTCCAGAGGTCCTGAGTTCAATTCCCAGCAACCACATGGTGGCTCACAACCATCTGTAATGAGGTCTGGTGCCCTCTTCTGGCCTTCAGGCATACACACAGACAGAACATTGTATACATAATAAATAAATATTTAAAAAAAAATCAAAACAAACCTACAGTAAAAGACAGTCAGGCAGAGTCCACAGAATGACAGGATCAACTAAAGATCTTGCCTGTGATGAGTCCCATTTCCAGGCAGCCCCTCAAACCCTTCTGGAGAAGACAGAGAAAAGCTCTCTCTCCAGAATGGGAATTACAATAAGCGGGCTGGCTATGCAGACCCACAGCACATGAAGACTAGGCCCAGCATATTCTACAGGCAGATGCTAGGGCTCACAGAGCATTACCGTAGCTGGTGTCTGGCCTCCTGGCAGTACTGCTCCCTCTTGTGCCCAGCTGCTGGAGCTGCCCCTTGGAGAGACGAGCAGTAAAGGAAGGCATAGAGCCAAGGGTGGAAGTCAAGGCGATTTCCAAACTCTGCGACAGCTTCTGCTCATGGGACACTGGACCTGTGGAAGACACAGAGATCATGACATCCAGGAAGACTCAGCAAAAGAGAGACGGCTACTCATTCTTGGAAGACGAGAAAATGGCTCTTCCAACTTCAGACATGTGAATACAAAGAAAACCTCTTCCTGTGTCTCCCAGGACTGTGAAGGCAGAACAAAGAGCCAAAGTCCTGGGAATCCTGCCGCCTCCCCACCTAAAATGCTTTCAAAGCTTGAGGCTTTCTCTAACATTCCCCTAAACAAAGTGTTGTGCAGGACAGAGCCATCTGGAGGCTTTGATACAGAACTGCACCTCCTTTTTCTTCCTTCCCTCATTCATTCTGTGGTGCTGGGGATATAGTCCTGGACTTGTGCCTTTCAGACAGCCACCCTACTTCTCAGCTACATCCCAAGCCCGTGTTACATTTTGAAAGGCCTGCCTGCTGGCCCAAGAAATGATGAGACAGCAGACACCAGCTCTGCACAGTACCCACACTCTCTATCCTCTGCCTCAGCGTACTTCCCTTCCCTTCCCTTCCCCCACCCCTTTCTTTGAGACAGGGGTATCACTATGTAGCCCGTGCTGGCCTCAAACTCAAACTCATGCTGATTCTTCTGCCTCTGCCTCTTGAATACTGGAAATACAGGCATTTGCTACCATACTTTTCTATTTAAAAAAGAAAAGCTAAGTGGTGGTGGCACCTGCTTTTAATCCCAGTACTTAGGAGACAGAGGCAGGGGAATCTCTGTGAGTTCAAGGCCAGCCTGGTCTACAAAGCAAGTTCCAGGACAACCAGAGTTGTTAACAGTGAAACCCTGTCTCCAAAAACAACAAACAAACAAACAAGCTCAAACACTAGGGAAACAGCTCTGTTAGCACAGTGCTTTCAGTATCAGCATGAGGAGCTGAGTCTGCTCTCCCAAATCTGTGTCAAATATCCAGGAGCACTGATCACACCTGTAATCCCAGTGCTGGGGAGACAGAGACAGGCAGATGCCTTGAGCTTGCTGGTCATGCAAGCCTGGCAACCCAAGTTCAGTCCCCAGAACCTACAGTGGAAGAGAATAACTAAGCCCTGCAAGTTGTCCTCTGACCTACACATGGTACATGAGTACCTGCGGGGAGCATGTGAGTGTACGCGCACACACACACAAAATACTTGTGAGACGGAGGTAGAAGAATCATAAATTCAAAATCATCCTAATATAGAGAATTCTGGTCCAGCCTAGGTTATATAAGACCCTGTCTCAACAAAAGGCCGTCTCTTAAACTCTCCATTTAAGCTGGGCAGTGGTGGCACACAACTTTAATACCAGCACTCGGGAGACAACGTGGATTTCTAAATTTGAGGCTAGTCTGGTCTATAGAGGGCAGCCAGAAAAAAGGCAATTTTTCTTGATTAATAACTGATGTAGGGGCCCAGACTACTGGGGAGGCTGCTACCCCCGGGCAGGCGGGCCCTGGTGGTAAGAAAGCAGTGTGACAAGACCTGATGAGTAAGCAGTAAGCAGTGCCGTGGCTTCTGTTTCAGTTCCACACCCAGGCTCTGCTCTCAAGTCATTCAGGGCAGAGTGACCTGAGAACTGGAGATGAACCCTTTCCTCTGCAGGTTTTAGTCATGGTGTTTAATCACAGCAGGAGAAACCTAACTAAGACAGTGACTGATCTGACACTGATGATCTGAGCTCTAACTCCGAAAGCTGTTATCACAACAACCCACAACAAAAAGCTTGTAATTGATCTTAGGTTCCAAACCCCACTAACTTTCACTTTGCTTCAACATGGCATTTAAAATCTTACTGCGTGAAACAAAGTGGTATAAACCTGTAATTCCAAAACCGTAAGTCAGAGGCAGGAGGGCTGTCCCAAATCTGAGGCCAACCTTGTCTATAAAGTGATTTAGTTAAATGCCAATCAGCACGATGCATTGTAACGGTGATTCCAAAGAAAAGAAAGAAGATAAAGAAAAAGCCAAAGATCTGACCAACTTTGATTTTTCTTCTGGTTGGGTTTTAGTTTTGTTTGATTTGGTTCTTTTGACACTGTTTTTTTTTTAAATATATTTATTATGTATACAGCTTGCATGTATATCTGCACACCAGAAGAGGGCACCAGATTTTATCATAGATGGTTGTGAGCCACCATGTGGTTGCTGGGAATTGAACTCAGGACCTCTGGAAGAGCAATCAGTGCTCTTAACCTCTGAGCCATCTCTCCAGCCCCTTGACACTGGTTCTTAAGGTGTACTCCTGGCTGGGCCAAAACTCATCATGTAGACTGGGCTGGCCTTGAACTCACATAGATCTATCTGCTTAAGTGCTAAAATAAAGGTTTGTGCTACTATTCCATGCTCTAAGTTGCATTATGTTTATTTTAAAATAAAATTTTTTTATGCATATAAATGTTTGCCTGCATATATCTTTGCCTGGTTCCCACAGAGGCCAAAAGAGAGTCAGATCCCCTGGAACTGGAGTTAAAGATGGCCGTGAGCACCCATGTAGGTGCTGAGAACTGGACCCAGGTCCTCTGAAAGCAGGTAGTGCTATGTACTGCTGAGCCATCTCTCTAGGTCTACATCCCAAATTCTATTTTTCAAAACAGTCTTTGCCATAAGAGATCTAGAGACAATTTTCCTAATTAAGGCACTAGAATTTCTGCTCAGGTGGTGTCAGATGAAATGACACTTTATATTTCTTTCATTTTAAAAATTACTTATTGGGCTGGAGAGATGGCTCAGCGCTTAAGAGCACTGACTGCTCTTCCAGAGGTCCTGAGTTCAATTCCCAGCAACCACGTGGTGGCTCACAACCACCTATAATGAGAACTGGTGCTCTCTTCTGGCCTACAGGCAGGATACTTGACTGACTGACTGACTGAATAAATAAATAAATAAATCTTTAAAAAAAATTTAGTTTTATATGTACGTATGTGCACCCATCTATGTGGGTTTATGTTTACCACTTGTATGCAGGTGCTGGTAGAGACTAGAGGCCATCAGGTCCCCTGGAACTGTAGTTACAGGAGGATTTTTAGTCCCCCTGATGTGACTGTTTGCCTCTGGAAGAACTTTAAGTGCTTTTAACTGATAAGCCATCTCTCCAGCTCCAATCTTCCTTTCTTTCTTATCTGCCCGTCTTTTACAAAAATAACATGTCAGCTGGGCATGGTGGCTGTACTGGCTTGGTTGTGTGTCAACTTGACACAAGCCAGAGTCATCAGAGGAAGGAGCCTCAGCTGAAGAAATGCCTCACTGAGATCCAGCTGTGATCAATAGGGGAGGGGGGAGGGCCCTTGGCCGGTAGTGCCATCCATGGGCTGCTGGTCCCCCGTTCTATAAGAAAACAGTCTGAAAGCTGGGCGGTGACGGTGCACACCTTTAATCCCAGCACTCAGGAGGCAGAGGCAGGCAGATCTCTGTGAGTTCGAGGCCAGCCTACAAGAGCTAGTTCCAGGACAAGCACCAAAGCTACACGAAGAAACCCTGTCTCAAACAACAACAACAAAAAACCTACAACAAAACAAAAAAAGAAAGAAAGAAAGGAAAAAAGAAAGAAAGAAAGAAAGAAAGAAAGAAAGAAAGCTGAGTAAGCCATGGGGAACAAGCCAGTAAGCAGCAACTCCCTCCATGACCTCTGCATTAGCTCCTGCCTCCAGGTTCCTGTCCTGTGTGAGTTTCTATCCTTACTTTCTTCAGTGATGAACAGCAATGCTAAAGTGTAAGCCAAATAAACCTCTTCTTGCCCAACTTGCTTTTTTTTTTTCATGATGTTTTGTCACAGCAATAGAAGCCCTAACTAAGATGGTGGCCCACACCTTTAATCCCAGCACTTGGGAGACAGAGGCAGGTGGATTTCCATGTTCAAAGCCAGCCAGGTCTATACAGAGAAACCCTGTCTCAAACCAACCAACCAAATGACAACAAATGAAGAACACATATTGTCAGTCTGAAAAGTTACACCAGACATTTCCAGGTTCTCCTGGGGGTTGGGGGTGGGGTGGCAGGACCACGGCTTCTAGGAATCACTGGCAATGCCAGAGGGAAAAGGTGGGAAGCCAGGCAGCTTAAATCTCATACTCAGCCACAGTACAACTCACTCACATTTACCGACCATATTTTCTTCCAACCTCACACTCTGTCACTTCTGTTGTGGTACTTCATGGGTAAGTGAGACAGAGAGACCCACAGTGCATTTCCATCAATTCCCCTCTGGGGGGGGGGGAGGAGCTGGAGAGCTGGCTCAGAGGTTAAGACCACTGACTGCTCTTCTAGAAGTCCTGAGTTCAATTCCCAGCAACCACATAGTGGCTCATAACCATTTGTAATGAGATCTGGTCCCTCTTCTGGACTGTAGAGATACATGTAGGCAGAACATTTTAAAAAAGAAAAAAAATCCCCTCTGGGAAGACTAGACATAGTACCCCACAGACACACGACATATAGAGGTTTCAGAAAAGAAGACATGGACTGCATTAACGGACCTACTGTTTCTCCTTCCAGCAGATCAGAATGGAGGATTCAAGACAGGAAAAGGCATTGATCTTGTTAGAAAAGACATCGGGAACACAAAGCAGGTAAGTCCACCAATGCAAGGAAGAGGACACAGAACATGAAAACAAACTCCAATAGTCAGATGTGGGGCTTACACTTGTAGTCTGAGCACTAAGAGATCAAGACAGGAGGATCAGCACAATTCAACACCGGCCACTACACAGCTTTAAAAAGCTTGAGTTACAGAGAACCCTCTTTCTCTCAAAACAAGTAAAATAAATAAATAAATAAAGATAAAATTTTAAGAAGAAAAAAATCTCAGGATAATAAGAGAACACACGCACACCACTTTGGCACTTACAGGTTATTTATGGAGCAAGGACAAAACTGAAATGCCCTACAAAAATGAAAAGCAGCATGGCCCCCAGCTTCATAAATCTAAGTTAGTAAAGCACAAAGCCAAGAACAGCAGCATCACGTCAGCAGGAAGGCCAGGGATGACAGAGTCGTGGACACGGGGGAGTTACCTGCTGAACAGTCCATATCCGTCAGGCCGAGTTCACTGGGGGCTTTCATCTTCTTAGCAGTGGGCTCTGAGGTAGTGGGTGAGAGCAGAGGGCTTGTGGGAGAGGAAGTGGCATTCATGCCAAGGCTGTGTTCAGCCTGCTCCTGCTTCCTTTTCCTTGAGGGCAGGGTAATGACAGAAGGGGTCATTGCTGATGTAGTTTGTGCTCTCCCAAGCAGATGGCAGCCAGAAATAGGGTGCTGGAGTAGGAAACGGTCGATCCGGGCCTTCAGGGACGGATGAGGTAGCGGGTGGGACTGTGGGGTAAAGGCTAACCCTGTGAACGGGTCACTGGGCACTCGGCCCCAAGTAGCTTCACTGAGGTTACACTTCTCCAGAGTGCTCTGGTCAATGACCTTGCCTGAGGGCAGCAGCATGGGGCGTGGCATGATCTCCAGGGTAATCGGATCTAGGAACTCCTCAGGCACATCATCAACCATCTCCTGTAAGAGACAGGGAGCCTGCTGGCCCTCAGACTGACCTCCAGAGTCACAGTCACTCTCCATGGGCGAGGCTGGGGTGTGCAGACCCAAGTCCTTCGGCAGGCTTCCTGATGCTACCAACAAGACACTATTGATTACCTCCTGAGAGCAGGTCTTGGCTGGCTGACCCCACACCTCTAAACGCTTTATGCAAGAGATGCCACTGCCTGTCACATGGGTGATTCCGATCTTGAGATGGGCCACATGGCTAAGGGAAAGAGCCCCTTTATTCCAGAGCTCCTGGGCTACAACAGCAGGAGAGAGGAGTGTGACTTCCATTGGGCTAAAAGGTGGCCTGGCCTTGAAGCCCCGGTGGCTGAACACCACGTGGTTCTGGTTTTTCAGCAGGACTTTGCCTACCAAGGTGAATGCCTCTTTGTCTGGGACAGACAGCTCCATTGGGTCTGTAGTCCAGCACTCGTGTGAACCCAGAGAAGCTCTGTTAGATAAGGCAGATGTGTATAATTCCAGGCCAGTGACATTCTGGCATCCGCCCGCTGTGAGGTCTATATTAATCCTACAGAGTTCTACGTTAAAGGGAAAGGAAACTGTCACATAGATTGGAGGTCTAATGAAGTACTCTGTCCTAAAGCCATGGCTTCTCTTTGTGAGGTCTTCAGAGATAAGATTTTCTACTTCATAACCATCAGCTGACACCTAGATTAATGACAAAGAGAAGACACATTGATCCAAATGAAGACAACATGTGTTCAAGAATTGTCACTTACAAAAATACTTGAGATATTTATTTATTTATTTATATGTTATGTATATGTGTAGTAATAAGGGCGGCGGGGCTGCATTCCCAGCACCCTGGCCGCCTGCTCGGCTAGCTTATGCCCCAAAATAATTACACAGACACTGTATTCTTTTAAGCACTGCTTGGCCCTTTAGCTCTAGCACTTACAGGCTAATTCTCACATCCCGATCAACCCATCTCTAATAATCTGTGAGAACCGGTCTTACCGGGAAGATTCTAGCCTAGTCCATCCTGGGTTGGAGCTTCATGCCATGTGTCTGCCTGGGAGCGGGGCATGGCGTCTCTCTCAGGCGTCTGCTCCCGAGAGGAGAGAAGTCGAGACTCTGACCTCACTTCCTCTTCCTCCCAGCATTTTGTTCTGTTTACTCCACCCACAGGGCCAAGCAGTTTCTTTATTGGCCAATGACCTTCCTCCATCATATATGGGTCTTTTGACTGCTTGTATGTCTGTGCACCATGTGTATGCAGTGCCTACTGAAGCCAGAAGAGGGTATCAGAGCCCCTGGAATTGAAGTACTAGATGGTTGTGAGCCATCATGTGGGTGCTAGCAATTACATCTGGGTCCTCTAGAAGAACAGCTAGTATTTTATATATATAAAACACAGAAGAGGGCACCAGATCTCATTATAGATGGTTGTGAGTCACCATGTGGTTTTTTTTTTTGCCTCCCTCCTGCTAAGATTAAAGGTATTTGCCACCACACCTGACAAAAGTAAGTGAACCTTAAAAACAAAACAAACAAGGGCAACACTAAAACAACAGAAAACTGAGAGGGAGGGCAAGGGAAAGGGGGACAGAGCTAGGGAAAAGGAGACACCAAGTGACTGATTCTACTCTGCTATGACTGTGCATGTGCCATTGATCCACCAAGACGGTAAGTCGATTTTTCACAGAGTCAGAGCACCTCACAGCCGTGCTCTGGGATCCGTGACTGCCCAATACTTGTCTAAATGCTGTCTGCTGGAATCCAAGGGTGAGCACACAGTAGCCTAAATCAAGGCCACACACACAAGGCAGGAAATGGGGAACAGCACGAGGACACATTACATATTTTTGTGTATATATTTGTTTGGTTTACCTTATTGCAGTGAATTCTTGGTCTGAACTGTGGGAGGCAAAGATTTATTACCATCTTTGTGGCTGAAAGAACAGCTTCCAAGCATCAGAAACAGCCTTTAAAAAAAAAGAAGTGAAACTTAATATTAGCCAGATACATTATAATTCAGCTTTAAAGCCAGGCATAGTGGTACATGCTTTTGATCCTAGCATTTGGGAGGCAGAAGCAGGCAGAGCTCAGTGAATTTGAGGCCAGCCTAGTCTACAGAGTAAGTTCCAGGACAGGCAGAGTAACACAGAGAAATCTGCCTTGAGAACCAAAAACAAACAAACAAACAAACAAACAATGATTGATCAGTTTTAAACTTTCAGGAGTTGAATCTAAAAGAGGAGCAAATAGAGCAGAAGCAGAACTTCTAGTATATTCTCCCAGTCCCACCATTTTCCTTGTGTCCTACTGATGATGGGGGAAATTATTCACTGAAAAGTTAAGAAGGCAATTTTCTTTCCTTTTAAAAACATATTTTATTTAACGTTTATGTGTGTGTCTGAGTGTATGCCTGTGCACCGTGGGTGTCAGAAGAAGCTTCAGACACCCTGGGACTAGGGTTACCGAAGGTTGTGGACCACCATGTGGTGCTGGCAGAACCCAGGTGCTCTGCAGCCAGCGCTCCCAGCTGCAGAGCCATGTCTCCAGGCTGGAGAAGGTGATTTCTAGCCTAACTTCTACATATGGGCAAAGCGTGTCAGTTCTGCAGGGTCCCACAGGAAGGAGCCAGTGCACAGCAGCAGATAACAAGGCGGTGGTGAATGGGAAGGGTCACAGAACACAATCATAGTGGTGTTGCACACTCAACCCTTGCTATTGCTTCCTTCCACACCTGGAAGAGTCGAACTGTTTTTGAGACGGCTGAGGTGCTTTTCTTGGCTTACAGCCTCTATGTAGCATGAGGGTGCTATCATGCACTCGCATGGCATGGAATCCTCACAAGCATGGCATTTGTGTCCATTTATTTAAGTATACCAGAGTCCTTTTTTTTTTAATTACAGAAATTGTTACTGTGTATTTATACATCCATGATGTGTGTAAGGACACATAGATCACAGCACATGGGAGGTCAGAGGACAGACATTTTCCTCTTTCACCTCTACATGGTTCTAGGTCTCTAAAGCAGGTAGTTAGGCTTAGGCTCGTACTGTAGGCACCTGTACCCTCTGAGCCATCTCACTGATCCCTCAGGTTTCTTCATTTAAGAAACTCCTGTAAACCAAGCAGTGGTGCATGCCTTTAATCCCAGCACTTGGGAGGCAGAGGCAGGCAGATGTCAGTGAGTTCAAGGCCAACCTGGTCTACAAAGCAAGTTCCAGGACAGCCAGGACTACAAAGAGAAACCCTGTCTTGAAAAACAAATGAGAGAGAGAGAGAGGTGGAAGTGATGTGGATGTATACTGAATGTAAGGCTCATAGACGCCACAGGGTGTATGGGGAGTCAGAGGACAACTTGGCAGGAGTTGTTTCTCTTGTTCTGCTAACGGCAGGATTTAGGCCTTCAGGCTTTCATGGGAGTGCCTTTATTGGCTGCACCACCCCACCTGTGCCCAGAGTACTCACTGAATTAAAATTAGGGTGACTTCTAAGAAAAGGCTCAGAAGTTATTAGATATATATTTATCTCACTGGTTATTCTTCTAGAGTACCTAGGTTCAATTCCTAATACCCACAGGATGGTTTACAACCAATTTTAACTCCAGTCCAGGGATATCTGGTGCCTTCTGGCCTCTTCGAGCACCAGGTATGCACATGGTACAAATACCATGCAGGTAAGACAACCATACACATAAAATTTAAAAATTAATGTATGATAAAGAAATGTGGAAGTCTTTTTTGTTTGTTTTGTTTGTGTTTTTGAGATAAGGTCTCTAGTAGCCCAGGCCATGAACTTCTGATCCTCCCACCTCTACTTTTCAAGAGGTACATGCCACCACACTGTTATGTGGGAATGAAGATTAAATCAGGGATTTCCTACATGCTAAGCAAGCACTCTACCAAATGAGTTACTTCCCCAGCCTGACCCATGGAAATCTCGATTACCCTTTCCAGCATATACTGGATCAAGTCAAGGGGAACTTTAATGGGTCCTGTGCATTGCGACTGCCTCTCCTTTCCCGTGTAAGAAGAACCTTCTAGTCAAAAGTCATAGAGCTGCTCCAAGTTGGTCAATGGTAGCCAGCTCCACGAGAACATTACTGAAGCCTGAGCCTAGGACAGCAGCCCATGGAGCGCCTCTCTCCGCAGAGCTTACTGAGTTGGAAGGAACACACAGAGGCTGTCCAGTCCATCCACATTAAATTCTCTTCATTGTCAGCTTCAACGCCACCTCTTGATTTCCACCTGGTAGTGGCAGATCTTATCCCATACTACTACTATGTCACAGATTTCTCAGGAGTTTGGATGATCCTCACCTATAGCAAAAACAAATGGTAACACATTAATACAATTTTAGGGTTGTGGGGGGACCTCAGTGACGTGCATTTGCCTAGCTAGCATGCATGAGGTTCTGAGTTCAATCCCAAGCACCACAAATAACTTTAAAAAATACAAATTAGGGCTGAAAAGATAGCTTAGTGGTAGAGAGGTTGAGTAGTATTTGTAAAACTCTAGGTTCAATTCCTAGCACTGGAAAATCTAAAATGTGTAAAAATAACTTAGTTGCTATATATGTGATCTGAGTGAGAACGGCCTCCATAGTGCTTATGTTTGGATGGCTGGTCCCGGCTACTGAAACTGTTTAGGAGGATTTGTTGGAGGTGGTGTGTAACTGGAGGAGGTTTCAAAAGCTCACACTAGGTCCAGTCTGTCCATTTCTGTCTTTCTCTGTTTCTATCTACCTGTAACTGTGAGCTCTCAGCTATTTCTCCAGCACCATGCCTGCTACCATGCTCTTTGCCAAGATGATCAAGGCCTAAGCCCCTGAAACTGTAAGTAAGCTTCCAAATTAAGTGCTTTCTTTCTATAAGTTGCCTCGGTCATGGAGTCTCCCTCTGCAATAGAACAGTAACTATGGCACCGTATTAGTCTGCATTTTGTTGCTGGAGAAAGAAGGGTTTAGTCCATCACTGTAGAAAGTCAGGAAAGGAATTAAGAAGCAAGCTGGAGGCAGAAACCCGAAGCAGAGACCACGGAGTACTGCAGCTTACTCGACTTCTAAACTTCACGACTTAATCCACTTAACTGCTTTTTATATTCCTCAAGACCACCTGTCAGGGCTGGCACTGCCCACTGTGGGCTACACCCTCACACACAAATCATTAATCAAAAAACAAAAACAAAAACCCACAGATTTGCCTACAGGCTTACCTGATAAAGGCTTTCTTTAGCTTTTGAGTCAGGGTCTCTCTATGTAGCTCTGGCTGCTCTGGAATTCACTGTGTACACCAGCTGAGTTGGCTTCAAACTCAGAGAGATTTGCCTGTCTGTCTCCCCAGTGCTGGGATTAAAGGGTGTGCCACTACAGCTGGCAGGAGGCTTTTGTTCTGTTTGCCCACATGTATAACTGTGTACCACATGAATTCCTGGTGCCTATGGAAGCCAGAAGGGCATCTCAGATCCTGAGACAGAAGTTACAGATGGTTACAAGCTGCCATGCGGTGGGTCCTCTGGAGGAGCAGTTATTTTCTTAACCACCAAGCCATCTCTCCAAGCCCCAATTTCCCCAACTGAAGTTCTCCCGTCTTCCTAGAGGACTCTAGATTGTGTAGAGTTTATCCAAACTAACTAGCACAGTAGGACACAGGTGGCCCAGCACGCCTTTCCTCAGCTGGCCCATCTCTACAACCACTTCAGCCACTCACGTCACCAAGCTTCTTCCACTCCAGCACACGCGCATGCACCTAACTGTTCCAGTAAAGTGGGACGTAGTTTTCTTAAGTTAAGACAACTATGCTCTACTCTACCTGATATGCTCCTTTTGAGATCCATGGGAAATTTTTCCCTTGTTTTCTATATTAAAATAATTGTTTCCCCCAAGAAACTCAATATCATTAAGGTATGACAAGGATCCTTTACTTCAGCTGCTATGAAGCAGGGATAAATCAAGTTTGGTGGCACAAGTCTTTAATCCCAGAACTAGAGGCAGATCTCTGAGTACCAGGACAGCCAGGGCTATGTAGAGAGACTATGTCTCAAACACCAAAAACAAATTAAAAATAAATAAATAAAAAGGAATAAAGAAAAAGCAGTAAAAAAATCTGTAGCCTGGCACTTAAATATATCTGTCTAAAATATTTATGTCATAGAGCATAATATTGCTTTGAAATAATTTTCAAACAGGATAGATAAAGTATAATTCAATAGTAAATCATCTCCTGTAGCTGGCCTCAAGATCACTATGCAGCAACGACACACCTGACTACTGACCTTCCTCCTCCACTTTCCAAGTGTGCTACCACACCAGACCTGAGAGAAACATTTTAAGTAGATTTTTGTCTTTCCCCATTTAGTCTTAATTCAGTTTACATTTTTAACAGATTCTACATGCTTTTAAATATTTCAATTATAATAAATTGGATCTCTCATAATGTTTCATTGTCTAAAGAAGGTTGGCAAGTAGCCTTGCATTCCTGACCCTCCGGTCTCCACGGCCCTACTACCGGGGTTATAGGCATGCACCATCACGCCAACTTGCATTAATTTGGGGGGCCAATTATTCTACTTACAAGGAAATACACATTTCAGGGCCTTTATATGCGATCAGTTTATTTTTTATTTTATTTTTGGATTTTTGGTGGGGCTAGGAGTTGTGCTTCATGCACCCTAGGCGTTCTTCCACCGCCCAACATCTTCAGGGCTTTAACTCACTCAACCTAACAGATGCCAGGTAGATTTACTTGGGGTTTTACAATATCAATAATAGTGATAGTACGCTTTTCTAAAGTGATAATTTCATGTGTGTGTTTAACAGTCCTGGAAATCACTCTGTAGATCAGGCTGGCCTCGAACTCACAGACAGAGATCTGTTTGCCTCTAGTTCCCAAGTGCTGTGTTAGGTAATTCTTATTTTTGTCTCTGTATTACTACAACTTTCAGAATTCTATAGAAGAGTTGCTATTCTTATTCATTCTCATAAGAAAATGCTTTGTAAGAAAATGAAAGCCTTGGGCTGGAGAGATGGCTCAGAAGTTAAGAGCACGGGCTGCTCTTGCAGAGGTCCTGAGTTCAATTCCCAGCAACCACATGGTGGCTCACAACCATCTGTAATGAGATCTTGTGCCCTCTTCTGGCCTGCAGGCAAACATGCAAGCAGAACACTGTGTATATAATAAATAAATAAAATTGTTTAAAAAAAAAAAGAAAAAGAAAAAGAAAGCCTTGATATATGGTTCAGTGGGCAACAGCATTTCCCACCAAACCTGATGACCTGAGTTCCATCAGATAGGAGAGAAAACTCCCTCTCTCTCTCTCTCTCTCTCTCTCTCTCTCACACACACACACACACACACACACACACACTGTAGCAGACACCTCCCCCAAGAAATTTAATACATTTTTTCATTATTTGTTTTTTGAGACACAGGGTTCCTCTGTGTAATCCTGAGTGTCCTAGACTAGGCTGGTCTCTGCCTCTACTTCCTAAATGCTGGGATTAGAGGGATGTGCCACCATACCAAGCATTAAGTTTTTTTTTTTTTATTAAGAAAAGAAGAAAAAAAACATAAACAAAAAACAAGTTTCCACCTCCTCCCAGCCTCCCATTTCCCTCCCCCTCCTCCCACCCTTCTCCCCCTCCTCCCACTCCTCTCCCCCTCCCTCTCCAGTCCACAGAGCAGTCCGGGTTCCCTTCCCTGTGGTAAGTCCTAGGTCCTCCCCCCTCCGTCCATATCTAGGAAGGTGAACATCCAAACTGGCTAGGCTTCCACAAAGCCAGCACATTAAGTAGGATCAAAACCCCGTGCCATTGTCCTTGGCGTCTCATCAGCCCTCATTGTTCGCCATGTTCAGAGAGTCTGGTTTTATCCCATGCTTTTTCGGTCACAGTCCAGCTGGCCTTGGTGAGCTCCCAGTAGATCAGCTCCACTGTCTCAGTGGGTGGGTGCACGCCTCGTGGTCCCGACTTCTTTGCTCATGTTCTCCCTCCTTCTGCTCCTCATTGGGACCTTGGGAGTTCAGTCCAGTGCTCATGTGTGGGTCTCTGTCTCTATCTCTATCCATCACCAGATGAAGGTTCTATGATGATATGCAAGTTTTTTGTTTAAAAGAAAATGCCACTTTAAATACAATGTTTATTGTTCAACTGATATTTTTATTAACATCATAATTTTTTTTTTGTTTTTTGTTTTGTTTTTTTTTTTTTTTTTTGGATTTTCGAGACAGGGTTTCTCCGTAGCTTTTTGATTCCTGTCCTGGAACTAGCTCTTGTAGACCAGGCTGGCCTCGAACTCACAGAGGTCCGCCTGCCTCTGCCTCCCGAGTGCTGGGATTAAAGGCGTGCAACACCACCGCCCGGCTATAATTTTTGTTTTTAATTATTTTATTTTATTTTATTTTTTTGGTTTTTCAAGACAGGGTTTCTCAGTAGCTATGGAGCCAGTCCTGGAACTCACTCTGTAGACCATGCTAGATTTGAACTCAAGAGATCTACCTGCCTCTGCCTCCCGAGTACTGAAATTAAAGGTGTGCACCACCACCGCCTGGCAATATACTAATTCTTACATTTTCTTGAAAATTCTGAATTACATAAATGCAATTATGTGTATATGTAATATATTTCTTTTTATCTTATCTGACAGACCAGGATATACTAACCTATTTTTTTACTTAAACTTTTTTTTTTGAGACAGGTTTTCTCTGTGTAACAGTCCTAGCTGTACTAGAACTAACTCTTGTAGTACAGGCTAGCCTCAAACTCAGAAATATGCCTACCTCTGCCTCCCGGGTATTGAAGAATTAAAGGTGTGCGCCACCATTGCCCAGCCTTAAACTATCTTTTTAATTCCCAAGACAGGCTCTATGTGGCTTGAGACCATGTCTTATTTTGTAGCCCAGGCTGACTCTAAACCTAAGATCCTCCTGTCTTAGCCTCCTGAAGACTAGGATTGCATACTCTACCACTGCACACAACCAAACAGTTCTTTAAATGGACAATTGAATCCTACTGTACATTTATACACTTATAAATCCTTCACAAGGCACTGAGAAACAGAGAGGAAAATAAAGTAGCCAGGTGGGAACATTACTGAGCATTATTGCAGCGGTTAGATACACGACCTCCTAAATCTGGTTCCATCAATGCTGGCTCTGTCAAGATCTTTTGCTGGTCTAGTCTTATGAGCTACCTAGTTTCAATACCTTGATCTTTAAAGGTCAAGAACCTCCTACCTTAATGCTTTATGGGGGCAAGGGAATTCAACATACAAAAAAGACAAAGAGCCTCGCCTAGAAAAACAGCTTTCCCAGTTCTGCCAAG